AGGGAATATATCTTATACCTAGAACCTAGTGCGGGGCCTGACACGCAGCAGAAACTATGTATGCTTCCTGAGTGAATGGACGAAAAAGTGATGACTGAGTGGATACAGGAAAGAACAAATGAGCAAATGAATAAGTACTTATATTAATGCATGAATAAATGAATGAATGCGTTATGCATGAATAAGTGAATAAATGATGAGTGGATGAATGAACGAAAAAAGAAGCCAATAAGTAAATGAAAAATACCTGTACTGGTGAGAGTATGAGAGGCAGAATGAGTGAATTTCCACCTGTATCTTGGTTCAAGCCCACCTGGAAGAGCTTCTGCCCTGCTCTACACCCATCTAAAGTGCACAGCACAGGGCCAGCTGAGTGGCTCAGATGGTTAAGAGCTCGCTCAAGAGTTTGAGCTCCGAGCAACAGCCGTTTGAGTCCCGGCCTGAGCTGAGCAGCTGCTGAGCTGCCAACAGGTGGCAGGATGGCTCAGCTTAAAAAAAAAAAAAAAGTAAAATGCACAGCACAGTGTTAACCTCTTTTAGATTACAAGGAACAGACACATTCAAGTTAGAGATGGAGATTTATTGAAGCATTCACAGAAAAATAAGGAAGACAAAAACAGCTACACAGGCAGCCCCACAGAAGAGCAGAAACTTGAAAATGGTTCATGATCCAAAGCAGCTCTCGAGCCTGGTTATCTTGTCACTCCCTCAGCTGCAGGCATCTGTTGATCCCTTCTCTAGTGCTTCCCCAAATGGTGTCAACTTCTTTCTGGCTGTATTTATACTGCTACTGCTACTGACTACCTTCTCTCTGTTCCCTTCCTCGCTAGCCCAGGGCGTTTGGGCCTCACAGCTTCTGGACCTCCTGGCACCTGTAGCTTCCTGGCTTCTGGGGATTCAGTTCCAAATAGTCTGGGGCTTCTCTGTGTTGTACCTTCTGCTTGCGTTGTAATTCCTGCTGCCTCTTCGATGCCTGTTGCCTTGCTGCTACGTGGTTCTAGGTATCTTGTGGCTCTTGCAGTGTCATCCTTCTGCTGTCTCGTGGATCTTATCTGTTTGAGCCTTCTGCTGCTGTCTAGATCTCACTGATTCAGGGTTTTGTCTCATGCTTGCTTTCTTCGTGGCTCCTCCTACATCATGGCTTCATGGCTTCTCTGTCCTTTTGGCCCATTGTTGGCTTCATGCTTCATGGCTTCTGCTACCTTGTTGCCTCACATTCTCATGCTACAAATGTCTCAGTTTCTGTAGGTTTCTCCTTGCTTTTGCTGTTTGGTTTCTGGCACCCCTCATCCACTACCACTTCTGCCACACCAAACTCTAATTGTTCACTTCTTCTGAATGCCTCACATTCAGCCTCACTGAAAAAAGGCTCTGGTGGTTTCATACATTTGTCATTCAATACAGACCATCCCTATGAGGCAGAATTTTTACATCAGTCCATTTAACAGGCCGCTGGCAAACCCAGAGATCGACTGTCCTTGAGTCAGATACTATGCCAGCCTAATCATCTGTGGCCAGGATTATGAGGTCACATGTACAGAGCATGGCAACTCAGGCTTAAGAAATGCCTTAGAAGGAGGGACGGTGGGCATGGCAGCCTTGCTGAAGGTTTCCAGAAGAGGGCAGTGTCATTGGCAAACTGTTTTGTCAATCCATCACTTTTCTTGCATCTTTAAAATATCACAAAGAAGTCTGAAGAATCACCTGACATTTTGGTGTTTCTGTAGCTGGACAACTTAGATCTTATTCATCAGCCTGCTGAACTGCTCCTTTTTCAGAAACATAGATACCATCCAAAATTTTTCTGATATCCTTGTTTTTAACTGTTTGTCTTGTTGAATCACAGTAGCTGAATTTGATACAAGTTCAATATCATTTCCTTCAAAAATTAACTCATCTTTCTGGGCTTGAGATACTGAACAAGCAACACCTGATCTCATCCGAACCCTACAGATGTTATTTTTCACCCAAGAAATTTCACATTTGAATAAGAGAACCATTCTCCTGAATAACAACGTTGATGGGGAAGTGAGCACACGCAGGCCTCATCTTGTAACGGAAGCCCAACGTGACACCCATGATCGTGTTCTGTACATGACTACAGTGTGAACAGGAGCCAGTTCCTTTCTATTTCCCCACCATTTGTCAACCCAGAGCCTCTTCTTTTTCTTTCCAAGAAGACCGAGTTCTACATCGATATGACTGAAGTCCCTCCGCAGGGTGCTTTTGGGGTCCTTCACAATAACTGTGAATCACTTCACAGTGATGTTGACCTTTTCCGGAATGTCCACAGACTGATTGCTGACAATGGTCTTCATCCTCACAGCAGAAGCAGCAAAAAGCAATTAGCAAGCTTCTCGTTTGGCCTGTCCAGTATTTCGACCTTCAAGGACAACTTAAGTCCCACCTTCTCCCTGGCCGCCTCTGCCTGTCCTGATGTGCGATGGGGGAGATCAAGCTCTAGGGGTGATGTGGAAAGGAAACTTAGGTTCCTGTTCTGACTCCAACACTTCCTAGTAGTAGGGCCTTGGGGGAAGTTCCTTCCCCTCCAAGGACGTCAGGAAGGGGTTGGACAGTCTGTAAGTTCCCTTACAGGTCTGACATCTGGGCATCTCACTTTAAGTTACTGTAAAAGGGATATGAGTTTTACCTGGGGGAGCCCTCAAAGACATGTCGAGGTAGGAAAAATGAGTCAGTCCTGGCTTGGAAGAGCCTCAGTACACACAGGAGGTGCTTAGCCAAGATTTATTGAACTGGATGAATGAATCAATGGCTGGGGGAAGGGGGAGACCACACAGCACAGAGACTGTTTAACTTGAGTGAGAAATTCCAGTTGCTGAAGAGACTGGAAGATTCTGACCCAGATGGATGAGGACGAACGACTGGGATAGGGTAGGATTCTTGGCTCATTCTAGCCTCTCAGCCACCCTCCACATCCAGTAATCAGTCTCCAAGTCTTGTTCATTATCGTCCATAATGATAACGCTCATAACAGCTCGTACCCTATCACCTCCAATCCATTCCCACTGCCCTTGCCCTTGAGGCCTCCTGGTATTTTGAATACTTTCCTAACTAATCTCCGCCCCCCTCTCCCTCACAAATGCATTCATTGATGCATTCACTCACTCAGAAACTATTTATTGGGTGCCTGTTTTAAGTCAGGCACTGTGCTTTTTGTTGGAAATGTACCAGTATCAAGATAACCCTGGCCCACCCTTGTGGTGCTTACTGCTTACTCAGAGAGACAAAACAAGCAAATACAATACACTAAGTATTGAACAGCAGGGCAACGACAGGCATGGGAGCATCCAGTATGTGCATGTACCTGATCCATTTCCACACCGGCTGGCCAGAAAGGTGGTTGTTCTTTTTTAATTCCCATCTGATCCAGAGTCCCCCGCCTCCCCTAAAATCATTCCATCACTCCTTCACAGCCTTCGTGTTACAGTTCTCAGATCTGGCTGTAACCTAAAGTCATGTGCTGACCCTCATAGCACTCAAGATTCTGAGGCCCCACCGCAGTTACTGAAATTGAACTTTTAGAGGTTGGGGCTGGGACGCCCCCTGTTTCTGGTGTGTAGCCAGTTTGGGAACCACACTGTCCCATGAGATAAATCGGAACTCTGTAGCCAGGCTCTTAGGAGCCTCTTCAAATCTGATTCCTGACTACCTCTCCAGGTTCATTCCCTGCTGCTCCCCCCACCCCGGGACACCTTATGCTTCAGTATTTCTGAATTGCTTTGCTATTACTCGCCTTCAGGTCTTTGTGCATACCAATTCCACTACCTGGAAACTCCTTCCACTTCCTCAACTTGCTAATTCCTACCAGTACCTGAAGACTCAGCTCAGGTGTCACCTCCTAGACTACAGGATGCCTTCCCTTAACCTGTATCTAATCTAGATGCCCCTCTTTTTTCTGTGCTCCTGTCAGAACACTGTTCATACTGAATGGTTAACAGTTATTTTATGAGTTGCTTACCCAACTAAAGAGTGAGCTCCTCAAAAGCGGGATAAAGACTTGACTCATGTTTGTGTTTCTGGTGTGCAACACCGTGATTTCCTGAGTGGCGTGCCCAATTACAGATAGACACTGTCATGGAGTACTCTTCAACTCCCTAGAACAAGGTTACAGTGCACAGAGTATAAGGGATTCAACCTACTGTCCTCCAATGGGCCCTAAGGACGCTAGTCAGATCCGGCTTCCTCTTGGAAACACACCGTGGTGTCTGCTCTCCTCTGAGCACAGACTTCACCGAGCCGTGCTACCTTGTGATGATATGAGGCATTTTGGCACAATAGGAAAGCACTGGGAAAGCACAGAGAAGATTCAAGTTGAGGTCTAGGCTCTGCCCCTGAAATATTCGGATCTCAGGCATGTCATCTCACCTCTCTGGTCCTCAGGATTTAAGTCCTTTGTAGCACTTGTGTTCCTGTGTGCCAGGGCCCTTGCCCAAGGCATCTCGTGTAATCCTTTCCACCCTGTGAAGCTGGAATTAGTTATTCAGATTATTATCCACACCTACTGAATTAGATTTCCAGGATAAAAGAGCAAGGAGCTCCACATCCCTTGGACGTGCACCAGGAAACTGCTGCTTTGCATTATAAGCCTTTCTGTACTACTTATTTTCTAACCAGTGTATATATTGCTTTGATTTTTTAAAAGGACAAAGCTTCAGAAGTGATTCCAGTGGACAGTCAAGGTTGATAATCACCCTCACAGTGGCGAAAGCCCAAGGCTGAATCGGAACCTAGATTCAAACCCTCACTGTTAACTCATAGCTGGGTCACTTAACCTTCCTGAGCCTCAGTTTTCTCATCTGTAAATGGGGAGAATAGCAGTCACTACCTTTAAAGGCCTGTGATTATCTAGGTGCCAGCCAATTTGCTTCAAACATATTTCATTTCATCCTCCCCACACTGCTGCAAGGTAGGCTTCTAGTATCTCCTTTCCTATGTGAGGAAACTGAGGCTCGGGGAGGTTAATGGGCTTGTTTCTACAACTGGGATTTGAACCAAGGTGACTCCCAAATTATGCTCTTCCACATATGCCAGTACTTCCCAAACTAGAGCACAGTCCCACACTGGTGGTATGGGACTTCTTTGGTTGAACACAGACAAATTTTGTTTGTTTTGATAGTTATGCCTTTTAATATTCATTACAAAAAACATAACACATCAAACCTGTGGTTTCACAGATATCACTACTTAGGATGAAATTGAAGTAGATAACGATGTTAGACCTAAGGCAACCTCAGAAAAATATTGAGTAAATAGTACAGGAGGTTAATTTGGAAGCATCTATTAAAAACAAAAATATAAATAGTCTATGACTGCATTTCAACTTCTAGGAATCAATCATAGGTAAACTTTCATACACACACACACACACACACACACACACACACACACGCGCGCGCGCAATGCTCCTATGTGGGATTTTGTTATAGCAGAATAGTCTTACTATTATAAGAGAAATGAGTAAGTAAAATATGGTAGAGTCATATGATGGCAATCTATACAGCAATTACACAATCTATACAGCAATTACAAGACTACCAGCAACATGCATAGATCTCAAAAACATTAAAGAAAGCAAAATGCAGAACAATTTCATGTGCCATTGGCATTAAACACAATAATATTTCCAATGAGTTCATGTATGTAAGTCTTAAAACAAAGTATAGATAGATGTACAATAAAAAGAAAGCAGTTAAGGGTGGGGGGAATGGTAGTTAAATGAGGCTAGCTTTATTTCTAACAATCTAATTTCTTAAAAAGAATGAATTCATGCATTACTTGAGTAATGTGTACTGATTTAACTTTTAAAAAACAAAAATGCAGTATACAGATTGGGACCAGGTAGTGCTCTTACGATGTATGTGAATGAGCTAAGGCTGACCTCATGGAAGCAGGCTGTGCTGCCTTTGCACAGTCCCTGCAGCTTACATGGTTAGTTCCCAAAAGGAACGTCACATGTAATTGGCCATGTTATGACCCAGGCTACCACTCCCCTGCTTCCTCACAACTCATGTTGGGGCTCAGGCACCCGCTTATCATATATGATTGATGCTACAGGTTTCCTTAGACCCTCCACTTACCAGGTAAACCCCATCGGTGCTCTGGAACTTTCCTAGTAACCAGGGCATTCAGCATCTCCCAGATTTGGAGGCTCCTTTAGTCCCTAACTGGGATCAGAAGCCCTCAGGGGTCCAGGCATGAGAAGGCTGTATTCTGAGAAGTTGGCACCTAGTAGTCTCCAAGCAGGGATAAGGCCTCCAGGGAGGAGCCTGACATCATTAAATCCTGAGGTAGGTAATATTACTAGCCCCATTTTACAGTTGAGGAAACTGAGGCACAGAAAGGTCTAATTAGTGAGTGATTAAAAAAAAAATGGGACTAAAACCTGCAAATACCTGTCCCCAGAACCCAGGCTCTGTTCCTAGTGCCGACCAAATCCTGCCAGTTTATTGAGGTCCAGCTCAAATGTGACCTTCTCCAGGAAGCCTGGAGGTGATCATCTTCCTCAAAGTGCCTATACACATGATTCAGCTAACCAAGAGAGCTTCTAAACCCACTGCATCTCCTTAGTAGGAGGGATCATGTCTGATTCAGCTCTGTATTCCTAGCAGAGACTGACAAAGAAAGGGTGTTCAGTATGTGTTTGAATACACGAATAAATAAAAACACAAAATGAGTGAATGAGGGCAGTTTCATGTGACTGCCTGACACCTACGAGGTCCTGAAAACCTTTGCCTAGCTCTGGGGTGCTGTCATACTAAGCTCTTGGAGTCAAATTCAGCCTAGGCTCCTTCTAAAATGGGTCTCCAATATCTTTATTACTTTGCAAACACACGCACATGCACACATGCGGACATACACACACACCCACACACAAGCAAAATGCAAGAGGCCTCATAGGCCCATGATTATGGGTAGATATGGGGTGGGGCTGGGAGGGGGAAGCGGGGGATGGGCAGATGGTCCTGTCCAGCTCAGTTCATTTCAGCTCAGCACCTCCTTCCAGAGGTCAGGATGCTCCCTGTAACTCAGGAGCTTTTGCTCCAGACCTAACACCACCTCTGTTCCTCTTCATGCTGATAGCAGTGCCTAAATCCCATGACTACAGCAAACAGGGACAGGAGGTAGGGGAAGGTTGGGAGCCAAATATCCAGAGATTGGGCGAGGGGCAGCTTAGGGATCCACACAGTGCAGGAGGGCAGAACTACTGTTACTGCTCATTGGGGTTGGGGTTGGCATCTGGGTACTTGGTAAGGTCGAAGGTCAGGACTTTGCTGATCACACAGTCCCCTTGCTGGAGGAGGAGGAAGAAAAAGAAAAATGAAATTGTAAGGAGAAAGTAAGAGGGCTCTAGCGTCGCAGGAGTGGGGGCCTCAAACTCTCCTCCTTACATACCTGCCCAAAGCCCAGGCAATGGTTCTCTCTGGGTGAGAGGACGTGTTCCATCCTATGTGCCTTCTCTCCCTGCCTACCTCTGCACTCTCCTCCTCTTCTCTGCTGTCTGGCTGCCTCTGCTTGGCCTTTCCACCTGTCCCCAAATGCAATGGCCCTGTCCAGCTGGGCTGGCTAAGCCTCCAGGGCAGGGCTCCAACAAGCCCAGATGGCCATTCAGGACCTAAGTCGCTATGCTCCCCTGTCCCCATGTCCCTCCACTGCGGCTTTTCCTTCCTGCCCTGGGGAGTCTGGCAGGGAGTGGGGCTGGCTTCTGAGCCAGGCCCGCCCTACCTCGGGGTAGACTCCAATGAGGCTCTCAGCCTTGGTGTAGAACTCCTCCTTGAGAGAGATGACGATGGCCTGGAAGTTGCAAGTCGACTGCTCCTTGATGTAATTGGCCACCTGTGGGAGGGGCCACCAGACACTTAGGGCTGAAGCCCTAACACTGCCTTGTGTTTTCCGGTCAGAACTAGAGGCAGAGGGGTGGGGTAGGGGGTGGAGGGCAGGGGGAAGAGATACTGAGAGGAAGTGACTCACTAGCATGGTGTGGATGACCGTGGGCCCAGCCTCCCAGGCACAGAGAACAGGAGCAGGAACGGCTAGGGCACACTCAGGAGTTGCTCCCTGAAATCCAGCCCCAACCTAGGGTTTCCTTCCCGGGCCCCGCTTTCCTTGCACCCACCTTGCCAATGTTGGTGTTATCCAGGGCAGCATCAATCTCATCCAGGACGAAGAACGGGGCTGGCTTGTAGCTGGGAGGGAACCAGTAAGTGAGATAACACTGATGGGGTGGGGGTGGGGTGGGACAGCCCCAGGGTCCATCACACAGGTCCGCTTCCCCTCTACTTCTTCAGCGACTTAAAAACCCAGGCCTTAATGTTCCCTGAGCCCCTAAAGGCCAACAGACCAACTGAACTCTCCTCTGCACCCCGCCCTATGCTCCCGGATCCTGTAGAACCAGAAGACACAATCCTCTCTGGAGCTTCCAAGCTGGCTGGGATCAAGGTGTCCTAGGCTCTGGCAACACCAACCAAGTTACGTGGAGGTGTGCCCACCCACCTGCCCCATGCTGTCATGTCTCCCTGCCTGTACACGTGCTGCACCCTCCACCTGGAATGCCTACTCGTCTCCCCGGCCAACTTCTCCTCATTCTTTGCATTTCCTGCTCAAGTGTTGCCTACTCTACCTTTGAAAGCCTTCCCTGGCCACTCACAACCCCCGCCAATTGGGCTGGTGTCCCGCCTCTGTGCATCCACAGCATCCGCGCTCACCCGTTATAACACTCAGCTCACTGTCTGTTTACACATCTGGCTTCCACTAGACCATGAGCTCCCTGAGGACAGAGACCATGTCTGACTCATCTGTGTCTCTAACCCAACAGGGTCTGGTACAGAGCAGCCCTTGAGACATGTTCACTGAACGATGCTGTACAATCAAGCACTAAGTTGTGGGGGTCAGGTTCAGTACTACTGGCACTTAGGAGGGGAAGGGCAGGGTAGGCCAGTGGTCAAAGCAGGTTTCCTAGAGGAACATGAGGAGAATGAGACGTGAAGGAGTGGTAGGTGACAATCAAGCTAGATTTGCACGGAAAGGGCTGATTAGCCAGCAACCATGCGAGCAAAAGCCTGGTGGTGGCCTGAATACATGCGGGGGGGCCAGTGAGGGCATGCTGAGTGGAGGAGGATGGATAGGGAACGCAGGTCTAGGAAAGCAAGGCCAGGTGTGTTGCAGTAGGCAGGGAAACAGGGATGCAATCCAGAGTCCACTAGACCATCTTCACCTCTGCATATCCTTGGGCCCCAGAGGCTCCAGTGGACGCCGCTCAGTCTCTCTGCCAACTGCTCTGGGGGGCACAGCCTTACCTGTGGATGGCAAAGAGCAGGGCCAGAGCTGCCACTGTTTTCTCTCCCCCTGACAAGTTGTCCATAGGCCGGAAGCGTTTGCCAGGGGCCACGCAGTTGTAGTTGATGCCGTCCAAGTAGGGCTCCTCAGGGTTTTCAGGACCCAGGAATGCCTAGGAGGCAGGTAGATGGATCTCGGTCTAGGTCTGGATGGGGATGGGGGTAGGAAGCCTAGAGGAAAAGGCAACTGAGGATGGTGGGGGCTGGTTGGGTAAGAGGCTCCAGCCTACCTGGGCACTGCTGTTGCGGGACAGGGCCTTGTAGATTTCATCAATGTTAGTGGCCACAGATTCAAAACAAGCATTGAAGCGGTCAAAGCGCTCCTTCTTGATCTGTTCGAAGGCCTGCTTGGCCTTCTTGGCTCGCTTTCGGGCCGCCTCAAACTCTGCCACGAGAAAAAGACAGGTGACCCTCAGTGCCCAGGCTCTGCCAAGGCTGAAGACCATGCTCTGGCAAGAATGGCCTGCAAACGACAATCCACAGAGGAGGGACATCCCAGAGAGGGAGAGGAATGCCTGGGGAGGCTCCCAGGAAGACGGTCCCACAACCACTTGTATCCAGTGGGCCAGCCACACAGTGCAAAGAAACATGGGTTTGGAGCCACATAAACACGGACTCTCCCCTGGGCTCTACCAGCAACCAGCTGTGTGACCTTGGGCAGGTCATTTACTCTCTCTGAACCTCAGCAGTTTTCCACTCTATAAAACAGGTGTGATAACCCCTACTGTTTAGGCTTCTTGGGACTTTCAAGAAAGCAAGCATATAAAAACGGGAACTGGTTGTGATGTATACCAACAGGCCCTTGCCACACCTCTAGCCTCCTCCTGTCTTCATCTCAGGCCCAAGTAAAGGGAAAATCCTACCATCTGAGGTCTCCTGGAACTTGTCTCGGACACTTTCCAGCTTTTCCATGGCCTTCATGTTGGGGGCAGCAATACGCTGCAGCACACTCTGCTGCTCATTAAGCTTCTGCTGCAGGGTGTTCATCTCCTGCTTGATCTCCTCCTCGGCCTGAGCATCCTGCAAACCCCAGGCACAGCAACATCAAGAAGGGCCAGGCCCCTGAGCCCAGGCCCACAGAGCTCCTTGACTGCATGGGGCCTGGGAGCCTGTTCCCCTGTGGAAGGCAGGTTCTTCCCCAGCTCGGTTCCTCCCGTAGACACCATTCCTACCAGCTGACACGGCTTTCTCATCTCTAGCCCTTCCCCCAGGCGCTGTCAACCTCTCCATCTCTCAGGAGGAGCAGCTGGTGGTGCCCCTCTCTGGCTCTCAGCCTAGGCCACGAGCCAGCGTCATCCCAGGGTGACCTAGAGGCTCCCACACAGGCTGGTCTGGACTCCACAATGAATAAGGCAACGCACATTTGCTCTCCAGATCACTATATCTGAGGAAATCCCAGTTGAGTTTGGTTGTAGGTTTTATGGATATTGCAATGCGTGTCTGGGCTTGTGCCTTTCTGCCACTTTTAGTCAATAAATATTCACTGAATACCTTCCAAGTGCCAGGCACTGGGGCTGCCAGATCCTGTGAACCATGGTTCCTGTGCTCACAGAGCTCACGGACTAACAGAAGAATGCATATAGGTAAAGGATGAGAACACTGTATGGTGATACCGCAACAATGATAAACAGACATGTCAGGTCAGCACACAAGGGCACCTAACTCAAACCCTGGGACTAGGGAAGGCTTCTAGGAATGAGGATGTTTAAGCGCAGGCCTACAGAATGAATGGTGAGGACAGAGAGAAGGAACAGTCTTCTAGGCAGACTGGAGCATCATCAGGGGTTTGCTCATGGTTCATTCAAGGCATTCAAAGCAATTCAAATAAACTTCCAAAGCCACCCCCAACACACACACAAAAGGCAATTCAATATGGCAAGAGTAGCCACTGTGTGTGCGTGTGTGCACGCTCACATGGGTGCTGGGGGAAGAGACAAGGCTGGAGACACACATGGGAGCCCAATGATGAAGGGCCTTTTAGGTCTTGTAAGAAGAGGTTTGAACTTTATCCCAGAGGAGATGAGACACCACTGAATGACTTCAAGCACAGGAAGGACATGAATATATACGTATGTTAGAAAAGCCCTTCTGGGGCCGGCCGAGTGGCGCGATGGTTAAGAACTGGTTGGGATGCCAGAGGGCCCCGGTTCGGATCCCACATATGAGGGCCAGTGACACTGCCCTCCACAGCTAAGATGCTGAACAACAGCTCAACCTGGAGCTGGTCTGCCATGAGTTGCTGGCGACGGCATAGGCTGCAGCCCCTGCTGCAGTGGGTTGCCATGGGCTACCGTGTGTGGCCAGCAGCCAGCGTGAGCGGCCAGCAGCCGCAGTGAGCGGCCGTCCAGAAGCCGGCGACTGATCTGCCTCGCCTGGGAAGAGCGCAATGATGGTGCCAACTTGGGCCAGTGAAGCAGCGTCCTCCACAACTAGATTGAAGAACAAAACGACAGCAACTTGCCTGTTCCCCTTCCCCCAATTCCCCAGGGCTGTTCCCATCCCCCCAATTACCCAATAAAAATCTTTAAAAAAAAAAAAAAAGAATGATATAAAAAAAAAAAAGAAAAGCCCTTCTGAAGATCTCTATATACTGCTATAAAGTAGATCCCCAGGATATGTTGTAATGAAATATGAAAGCACACAATACAATGCCATCTTTTATCTGAGAGAGGGAATATGAACATATTTGCATACAAATACATTTGTATTTTAAAAGTACAGCAGAAAAAAGGATAAACCAAAAACTAACTAAAAATGGTTATGCATGGAAGAAGGGAGGTAAAGGAGACAGGAAAGGAAGCTGAACTTCTCTTCATATACCTGGTGCTATACTTTTGGTTTTTAGAACCATATAAAGATTTTACATAATTATAAATGAAATCAAAATGTGAAAAACACTAGGCAAAAAAATGGTTGGGGAACAAGATGCCCAAGAATCACCCCTAAAGATCACTAACTACTCAAAAATGTGAAAATGTATGTTTAGTGTTGAGATCTGGCAACTGATGCCTTAACTGAGGATCAAACTTAACATAACAAATATGGGACATCCTGACACTATATGCCTCCTGGCATAACACAATAAAAAAGTACACAGCGTCACCAATGAAATGTTCTTGCAAAAAAATTACTTAACCCTATTCCATCAAGCCTCCAGGCTAGATCACACTTCCAATTTATAGAAAGAACAAGTTAAACAATAATGAAAGGAAACTAAAGAAACAGGACAGGGCCGGCTGAGTGGCTCAGTTGGTTAAGAGCTCGCTCAAGAGTTTGAGCTCTGAGCAACAGAGGTTCAAGTCAGCCCGAGCTGAGCAGCCGTGAGCTGCCAACAGGTGGCGGGATGGCTCAGCTAAAAAAAATAATAAAAAAAAAAAAATAAAGAAACAGGACAACCACAAGCCATCCATGAATCTTGATTGGATCACAGCTAATAAAAAACAAAACAAAACAATAAAAGACACTTTTGGAACAACTAGGGAAATCTGAATATGAGCAGGACATTAGATGTGAAATTATTATTAATTTTCTTAGGTGTAATATGTAATTGCGGTTATGGAGGAGAATACCTTGCTCTCAGAATGCTGAAGTATTTGGAGTTGAAGTCTGCAACTTCCTTCAAATGGTTCAGCAGAAACAAAAAAAGTGTAATGCGAAGGGAGGGAGGGATGGAATCAAGAGATGAGAGAGCAAGCACACTGGCAAAATATGCATTGGTGAATCTAAGGAGAAAGACACATGATGTTCACTATACTATTCTTTCAATTTTGCTATAGGTTTGAACATTTTCAAAATTAAAGTTGGAAAAAATAAGTCAAAATGCTCAAATAAAAAGTACAACCCCTTAAAAACTGAAAACTAAGAAAGCTGACTATATGTAATATTAAGCTAGTGAAACATAAGAATTCTTTCAAGTTACTTTAAAACATAGGAACACAACTGTACATGCCCAGGGAGCCATAACCTTAATGACAAAAAGAACCTCAAGGAAATCTTAAACAGTATTCAATAATTAAATTGTTACTAATGCTATCTCATTGTGATTTTCAAACTATTATATACAGAATAGCATAAAGTACACATGTTACTATGTTAGTGTTGCTAGGAACCAAGATTTTTAGCAAGAATAACTGGAGACTCAAACATAAAATCAACAATGTTGTTAAACTGTGAGAATTACAATTTCAATTGGTAGTACCAATACAAACTCATGATACTTTTTCCTTCAAAGTAAAAAAATGCATTTCCTAGCCCAGTCTACTGAAAAGTTCTAGGAGCACCAAGCAACCCCAGCAGCCATGAGCACTCCAGTGTCCAGATGGTTTGTTCTGAGCTTTTTACCACTCAAGCCTAGCTCCGACTCCCGAATTAGGCAGATGTTGACCACCCACAGGCATCGACGTGGTAGTCACTAAATAATAGCATTTTCCACTAAAGGAAGTCAGAGCTTCTAGGAGAAATGGCTAATTCTAGGTCTTGGCGTGGGACATGTAGAGGATGAGCCTGGACAGATCAGAAAGTAAAGAAGATACAAAAGACTACAAGAGTTCTGTCAAAATGATTCAGAGCCACATGCAAAAGAATGAAATGCCATGTGCAAAAGAATGAAACTAGCCTGCTATCTGTCACCATGTACCAAAGTTAACTCAAAATAGATCTAAGGCCTAAACATAAGACCTGAAACAATCAACTGCACAGAAGAAAGCATAGGTACTAAACTTAGGGACCTTGGGTTCAAAGAGGATTTTATGAATTTGACCTGAAAGGCAAGTAAAAGCAAAAATAAACAAATGGGAATATATCATAATAAAAAGCTTCTGCATAGCAAAAAAAACCACAAAAAACAAACAAACAAACAAACAAACAAAACAACAACAAAGAAGCAACCAACCGAATGGGAGAAGATATTTGCAAACAACGCCTCCAATAAGGGGCTAATATCCAAAATACATAAAGAACGCATACAACTCAACAACAGTCTAATTAAAAAATGGGCAGGGCCGGCCGAGTGGCGCGATGGTTAAGAACTGGCTTGGGATGCCAGAGGGCCCCGGTTCGGATCCCACATATGAGGGCCAGTGACACTGCCCTCTACAGCTAAGATGCTGACCAACAGCTCAACCTGGAGCTGGGCTGCTGTGAGTCGCCGGCAACGGCTAGGCTGCAGCCCCTGTGGCAGTGGGTTGCCATGGGCTACGGTGTGTAGCCAGCAGCCGCCGTGAGCGGCCGTCCAGAAGCCGGCGACTGATCTGCCTCGCCCGGGAAGAGCGCAATGATGGTGCCAACTTGGGCCAGTGAAGCAACATCCTCCACAACTAGACTGAAGAACAAAATGACAGCAACTTGTCTGTTCCCCTTCCCCCAATTCCCCAGCACTGTTCCCATCACCCCAATTCCCCAATAAAAATCTTTAAAAAAAATGGGCAGAGGACCTGAACAGACATTTCTCCCAAGAAGACATATAAATGGCCAACAGATACATGAAAAATTGCTCAACTTCATTAACTATTCGGGAAATATAAATCAAAGCCACAATGAGAGACCACCTCACACCTGTTAGAACAGTAACATCAACAAGACAAGAAATAACAACTGTTGGAGAGGCTGTGGAGAAAAAGGAACCTGGTTCATACACTGCTGGTGGGAATGTAAATTGGTACAGCCGCTATGGAAAAGAGTACAAAGGTTCCTCAAAAAATTAAGAATAGAATTACCATATGACCCAGGAAGCCCTCTCCTGAGTATCTACCCAAAAAATATGAAAACATTTATCCATAAAGATATATGTACCCCTGTATTGTTTGCAGCATTATTCACGATGGCCAAGACATGGAAACAACCAAAGTGTCCTTTGATAGATGACTGGGTAAAGAAGATGTGGTATATATACACAATGGAATATTATTCGGCCATAAGAAAAGATGAAATACTGCCATTTGAGACAATATGGATGGATCTTGAGATTATCATTCTAAGCGAAATAAGTCAGACAGAAAAAGTCAAGAAACATGACTTTACTC